AGGGATATTTTATGGGCCACCATAATGCGCGTTAAACGCCCAAACGCGTTTATTGTTCGTGCTTGCGAAACGAATTTATTCCGGTTGCCCACCTGCCAGACGCAGGATTGCTGCCAGTGACTCGACGGTCCTAAAATAGCACGAAATATTCAACGAACCTTCTCCGAACAATTAACTTTCTTCTCAAAGGGCACTTGCGATACTAACATTGTCGCTGAAGCTAAACTTTCACTGGAAAGACTAAACGCAGCTTCGGTAGTGAGAGAATCTCGAAACTCTGATTACAGTATGCTTCATCAAGTGTATCCCTGATGAATATCCAATAATCAGACCATTAAAAACACTTTCAAAAATACCAAGCTCCTACACAATTTCTATTGCATCCACACACCATACACGAAAACATACTTTGTTCAGGTTCCAATTGTATGAAGCCTTAATTAAAAGAACGTAGTGCAGATAGGTCGATTTCGAACGCCGCGCGGAGAAGCCTTAAACCTCGGATTTATCGGGAGAAGTCGAACGATCAGTGGAAAGGGAACGGCAACAAGTAATCTCCAAGTTGAAACTGGACGTTGTAGGCGTCAATCGTAGGCTAACCGATCCCTCGGATTAAACTATAGGAACGCCGAGGAGGTGGAGGAGGCGGAGGAGGAGGAGGTTGACGAGGAGGGGTGGGCAAATGAAGTTGAGCATGAGAAACGATCAACGCGCGGGGCCCTCTAAGAGAATCCCACTGGTCGACGGTTCCTGCATTTCCGAGATACGCTTTTATGGCTGGCGGTGCTCGTGCACGCGTCTCCAGTTTCACGTGCACACGCAATAACGAGACGCCGCGCCGAGGTACCGTAAAGGCTCGGCCCCTCGGAGCGCGGAAAAGCAGATGATCAGTTTCGCGAACGATCGAGCCGGGCCCGTGCGCGGGGAGGGGGCCGATCGCACGACGTGGGCGTCGATCGTGCAACGAGCAATCAAGCCAGCCATCTTCTGGATCACGGTTGCCCGGCCGGCCGGTCGGGTTCACGACGGATTCCGGCGGAATCCGCGGGCCAAACGTAGGGAATCGAAGGTGGAACAACGAGAGAGGAGCGTGCCCTCGTCGTTTCTACGATTCCCACGCCCACCGTCGCCCGCGCCGGCCGCGAGACCGCAGAGGAGCACTGCCAGGCCCCTCTAACCACTGACATTACGTCTGAAAAAGCCGACCATGAAGCCGATTCCATCGTCGTCGTGGTCGGGGGGGAATCGTTTCTCCTAGGAATGGACCCTTTGATTTTGCTGGCCATCCTCTTAAACGATCCGGCCGAGATCGTATCCCGATTGCGCGCGGTTCTTCTGCCGGTTTACGGACAAATGGCCGGAATCTATGCCCACGGTTATCTGCATACAAAGTCGACGTTATGCAACTGCGTAGCGGGACCCGCGATGAAATTACGATTGGTTCCGGGGTAGGAGGAGACGGTTACGGGCCGCGTCGGCTTAAACCCGCCGTATCACCTCGTAATTGGCCGGAGAATCGATCAGGAAGTGACAAGCTGTTGCGGGTGGTCGGAGAGCTACGTTCCCGATGATCGAGAGAAATATTAGCCGTTAATGCCTTACCGTCCGCGCGAAAAAGCGAAATGGCGCGGCGGCGCGTTCCCCGAACGCGCGCTGGATTATGCGCCTTGAATGATATTAATATATTATAATTAATTTATTAAACAGCCCGGGCCAACGGTAATTCATGGCGTTTGTGCGCCATTATAATTGGTCATTAAAAGGTCATTCAACCCGGATAATTCCGTCATTAGTGAAGTATCATAAATTAATATCCTGTAATAACATAAATTTCGTGCCTTACGTCTTTGCTATACGGTGCCGGTTAATGTAATCGTTCAGGACTCCCACGGCATTCCCAGTATTCGCCGGGGTTCCCGAAGGAAAAATCATCGGTTCGGCGACACGATACTCGCGTTTACCGATGCGTTTAATTCCAGATTACACAGTTCTTTCCTAAGTCCCGGGATCATCGTTACTTTGTCAACGGAATTATGCAATACTTAGTCATGCTGCCTAATCCCGCCGGGATTCCAGTCGAGCGTGTAGAAACGTCGCGGATACGAGATTATTCCGTATCGTCTGGAGATTTCTGCCGGTACGTATCGTATCTTGAAAAGTTTGCAATATTTAAAAGACAGTTCCTGGGTTGTTAAACCCGCCTCGGCCCGCCTTCCAGTTTCCACCGTAGAAAGCACACAAACGTGTCCCAGTTCGTGTCGCGACATCCGTGAAATCCTCGCGAGGCCGTGTTCGCCCTTCTTCGAGTCCATACCTCGTCGCTGGAAATCGTTAAGTCGCGAGACCAACGGCTGCAATCGCCGACCCACGCAGCCGGGGACGTGGCGACACGCCGCAGCCATGCCAGACCACCGTTTCGAACTTGGACACTCGCGCGATTGCGATCTTGTACGGGCGCGTTTGATTTTTCCCTCGCGGCCCGGTGATCACCGTGTCACCCTTATTTAGCGGGCAGTCATATTCCTTAGACCCTGTAATGCTGATGGCCGCCGCTGAAAGTGTAGGCAACATTTTTCGGGCACGGCTAGTCCCCGCGTGTTTGACATTTGAGAGTTCTAGTGGCTCTCGTAGCCGGGACAGTTGGAAAATCGTAAAATTAATAGCAGCACCTCGGTGCTCAATAGTTCAACCACCTTCCGCGAGTCAATGGTAAAAATCCTCGTTAGAGCTGTAGAAAGGTAATGAGAATAATAAATGAACGGAGAACGACGGAAAGTGTAATCTCGCTTGAAATACCGAACCTTGTTCGAAGTTGGGATAAAATATAGTCCGATAGTCGCGAGTGGGGAACGGTAATAAATTGCAGTTTGGACTCGTCGGTAAATTCTACCGCTTATTGAAATCACCGGAACCGGGTTCTACTCTATTATAATATCGCGTTTTAATCTTCAATTGCTGATTACTTAAGGCATTAAATCACCGCGTAAGAAAAATTTTTATCACTCTGTCCGTTACCTACCGAAGGATCCACGGGAAGAAAAAACGAAACCCGCGCACGGACGCGGGATCCGCGGCATGAATAATTTAAACAGATTAGAGCGGCATTAATTACGCCAGAATCTCTTTAACCGGGTCCCGTAAAAAACGGAGTTGCGCGAGTGAGAGTTACAGCAACAAAGTGTATCCCCGGTAATAATGACATATGCAACGGCGCGCTGTAAAGTGTTTCATAAAGCGTCCGTTTATCTCGGGACGTACCGCGATAAATGTACCCCCGTATCTCCCCAATTTGTTTCCGTTATCTCGGATCCGCGTTCCTTTTAATCAGACTTTATTGCGTAGATTTTTACTGCCCGCTTTACGTCCACTTAACCGGCCGCGGAGGCTGAAAGACATTTCACCGGGGAATCGCGACGTTTGTCGTCCGGGTGTCGAAGGGAAATCCAACGGCTGAGGCGCGGCGGACGTTATCGACGTTCTCGTTATCGCAATCAGGACCGTCGATCTTCATTAACGTTCACAATATCGTGGAATGCGGCGGTAACGCGACGCGGCCAAACCGGATCCCGGCGACTTAGCGCGCGTCGCCGCCGAGAAATCTGCGCGGACGTCACCGTGCTGCCGCGAGAAAACGCGGGCTGACGTTCGCTTGATTGGACGTCTCGGTAGCCCGAACCCGCTCCTAGGATAGGAGCGGAATAGCTGCGCGGGGAAAGGGGCAAGAGGAGACGACTGGCAGTGGTGAATAATACGAAAACGGCGCGAAGGGTGGCGATGACTGCGCCAAAGAAAACTGCTCCCCGCCGTAGCTGAGTGCAAACACATGCCGTTGCTGATAACGAGCCATGCGCCACCCATCACGTAAGCGGCCGCGGCCAATCTGATAATCCGTGAGACGCATAATGATTTATTATATGTGCCGCGTGCGCGCGCGCGCGCTCGCGCTGGGTTCAGGAGGTGGAGGTGCCGGCGCCGCGGACCGGCGATTCTGCCGGTTCCGAAAGTGTGTAATTTGTTGAGATAAACGGGCGTGGCGGTTACTTGTTCCCAGGAGGAGATATTTCGCGAGAATTACATTCGAAAGAGTCGAGCGGTTGATTTCGCGAGCCGATGATTCATTCTGTCGAAGAGGAGACAGGTTATCGTTGCGATCGCGGAGGAATCTTTGCCGGCACCTGAACGATCATCCTCTTTGGGTTGGACAAGAGGAGGATTCTTGCAGGGAACGATAGAGATGACGCTTGACGGGGATTGTTATTGCGAAAGGCTGCGTTTCAAAGGGTAGAGGATATTAGCAATTGAATATGATTATATTTAATGGCGCGGGAAACCAGGCCAGAACGGTCTCGTTGCTTTAATTGATATTGCGTTAGCGTTTGATCCGAGTTGACTCGGTGGACGGATAACGGACGGCCGTTTTGACAAGCGCATCTAGTAAATATTTACAGTCTCATACATATTCTAAAGTTTCGCATGGATAACGGAGAATGGACCACTCCCATTCGCCGGAGAATGGAGGACGAGCTTAAACGTTGCACGCGTGAAGCCATTTCCAACGATAGCTCTCCGCGGAATAACATTTTCCTGCCGGAGGCGATTCGAGAAATTGCCAGGCGACGAATATCTTTCACGGAGACCATCAACCTGGGCGTGGTCTTTCAAGTGGCGCATGCAATTCCACCAGTCACCTTAATCTAGGCTACCTATTTGCTGTGGTTGAGGCATGTCTCTGCGCGAAACATTCCAAACAACACATCGATCGCGACAAACGATCGTCCAGTAAAAGTTTCATAGTGTATCTCGCTTTTATCTAGATCGTACGCGGTTTCTGATGAGCACGGGATACATGTAATTGGAGAAAAACAATTCATTGGGAATCGTGCTCCGCGGAATGTCAATAGCCTCTGGATTCGATCTATTGGGTATGCGGTCTTGGCAAGGGATTGTTTGTACGCTCGGTGCGTTCTCGCATTTCAGAATTTCTTTCCGTCGAATAAGAAGGCATTCCCGTCGATTTTAGAACGTTTATTTCAAGGTAGATTACAGATATTAAGAATAACATAGTACTATTCTTGGGAGTGATTTTTTTTCGCGTCACACGGACGCGCAGTATGTGCACCGAAACAATTGCTTACCGATACATTATAAACAGAGTTTCATGTTGTAAATACTATTACCGAGAGCGGGATATTAATCTATATACAAATACTGCGAGTTAAATATCTACAGAATGCTCTCCCACATTTGTTCGAAGTCCACGAAACGTGCCCAGCGCACGGCCATGTGAATAAGTGTCCTTCAGAACCGTGAAAAGACTATAAATAATTATTTATTCGTCGTATAAATTGCAATCTGGTTCAACGGAACTGTCAACAAAATATTACACTCTCGAGACGCGTGCCTAACGGTACCGTCTCATCGAGGGAGATCCCGATCGATCGGTCGCACGTGATTTCACGAAATCTCCCGTGGTTCGTCGTTATGAACAACGCTAAAATCTGTAGCGGTTATTTTCATTCAATAACAGCTCCAACAACTTTCTCCCGTGTTAAATTAACGCTTTCTTACAAAGATAATTCGATCTGTTCGCTGCAGTTACAACATCGTGATACGATATAAAATAGAAAGTCAAATAAAACGTACCGTATTTACATATTTTGCACTTTTCGTAGCGATATACTTACTGCCTACGTATTTCGAACTAACGTGACGTCAATCGATCATTGACAAACAACGATTGCATCCACAATGAAGTACCAGTGTCTGCGACGCAGTGAAAAACCATCTCGCATCACTGGTCGCGCGTTGGCATTGAGCATCATCGTAATCTCATACACCAAATAATCTTAACTTAATCGTTCTACTATGTACACACACGTTCGTTCGCTCTACGTATTGATCTTTCATGTACATCACCGTTATTTATAATAGTCTGGCGAAATCGAGTTAGTAGAAAAGTTCTTGAGCTGTCGCGCATTCGCGGAACGCGCGTATAAATATATCGTGAAGTAAAAAAGCAAGTGCTCCTTACGGTAAAAATCAGGGAACGTAACAAGGAGTTCCAGATAGTATCTATATCGTGTTCGAAAGTGAAAGAAGATAGCTTCGCTATCATACTTTATCAGTAGAAAAAGTCGTGCACGCACGATGCACAGCTCATGCGATCCAAGTGATCCAAGTTATGTTTCTGAATCAGTTGTAACAAAAATATTCACCAGGAAGACATTAACAGTAACGTTGATTTCACGAGAACCTAGTTTAATAAATCTGTCACTGCCCTTGTGTTCAATATCTTAACTACAGCTGTTTCACAAATCGTCTTCAGACTACCGTTCACACATTTTGCTCGATGTATTCATAGAATACACCGACAAAGCTAAATCCTCTAGTTTCGTGACACTATGTGTACTGGTGGTCCTCGAATTTCTCTAAATAATTTTCTCTAAGTGGATTTCGTTCGGACATCGTTGCTAGCACACGCTCGCGTCGTATCGAGAAGAGTACTACTTAACATCCGCTAACATTTGTTGGACAACATTGCAAGGACCGCACGCCGAATCGACGACACCGTCCTCCCCCGTTTCACGCGAAGCGCCTCCGAGTATGGCAAATATGGCAAACGTTGCGAACTCATGCACATGCACCTATGCACTCGTCATTCCCCTCGCACGAAACAATCGCATCGAATAAATACGGTTCACGCAGGCTAACATAATCTTCCACCGGACTGCAAAAACTGCGAGAACGACGAGTCACGCTCTGTCTACGACGGAACGTCGTCTATTTACAGGAAAAAAAAACAAAACGACTTGACTTCTCTATTTTCCGATTGCTTGTAAAACTATTCAACGTTCACTCCCGCGCGGATCATCGGAGATAAGTCTATTTTAACTAACCGGCGGTATCTTAGCGCTTCCCATTCCGTCGATGATACAGTGTCTTCTTCAAAAACGTGTCGTCATATGGATCGTCTCGCATTATTGCACATACGATAAAGTAGTTGTTGCTCGAGATTCCCTTCGTGGAATGTTAGAACCTCCCATTGCCACGTAAACACACGCTACGGAGCGATTAACGCATAATATCATCCAGTTCTCCCATTAAACGACACTTTCATGTTCTATCTCCTTCAACGCTCGTGACATTTCTATCTAAACATCTTTACCATATCCTCGGTCACCGTCAGTCCGCTTTGCAACTCGCGGGAGTCTTTCGTGCGCATAAGTTACCGTACTTTACAACTCGAATGTCGAGCCTCAACGTCGAATCCTCTACGCAATCGAAAGCAAAACACCCATTACCCTTTCACGTGGGCACGACACGGGAAACGCCCCCCGCGCGCGAGCGCACCGAGTCATCACAATAATGGACGGAGTCTCAGATCTCAGGCAAGCGCGTAGCTCGCACTCGACGGTCGGGTCGAACGCGACAGAAAAGAATCTACATTGTCTCTAAATTTCCCATGTCAGACATAGACCTCCCCTCTCTTACTGTTCGCGACAGGCGTCGCGGCAGTCATCGCGGAGGTGGCTGTAGTGGGACTAGTCCCGAGCCCGCCAGAGAGGGACGCATTGGTGCAAGAGACGCTGCTGATCTTCCTAGAAGTATCCTGGATTCGATGATTGGGTCTACAGAGGTCGTGGCCAATGCTGTTGGTCCTTGGACGAGTGTCCTGTTTGCAGAGCACCATGAGCCTATCGATGTTAGGCGGGTCGTGCCCGTTCGACACAGAAGCTGCGCGACCCTCCCTAGGCTGAAGACCCGGCGAGTGCGGCAGTGACATACTCCTATCCTCCCTAGACTGCACGACAGGTGGGCCAGGCAGCGAAGCCGATCGCCTGCCACGTGGATCCGACCCCGCCTTAACAGTATGCCCAGTTGGCACCGTGGTTACCACGTAACTCAGTTTCTCGGGATTCATGAGAATAGGGGATCGATCGTTGTAGCTGTCGAACGTAGGCGAGCTGCCGTTGCTGCCCATAGGGCTGGCCGTTTCGCCGATCAGCGGTGTGCTCCTTTCTTGGCTTATTAGAGGTGTGGACCTATCTTCGTGTCCAGTGATGCTACCGCTCCTGCTGCTACCGCTGCCGGAGCCTTCCTCTTCGCTGCTGTTCACCTCGGTCAGCGTAGCCTGTATCCCGTTAGGCTGGGTGTTGGTTCTGATCATCGGCGCCGAGGTGGTCGTCACCAGACCCAACTGCGTCAACTGGCTCACCGTGACTGGCGTCAACGTCATAGGGGTTACCAGCCCAGCGCTGGTCAGCGTAGGTGACAAAACGGCCTGCGCCAAAGCCGCTGCTCCAGTTTTCCCGGTCGCAGGCGTGCCTTCTGTTTCCTGGATCGGCGAGAGCACCACCTGGACTACCGGCAGGTCCGCCGGGTAATGGCCGTTCGCCGGTATCACACCGACGACGCCGGCGCCGATGTTTGCCGCGTTCGTCGCCGACAGGGCTAATCTCTGCTCGCGGTCCACCACCTCTTTCGTCACGTCCGGTGTCGGTATGCGCGGTCGGTTCTTCAGGGAGATGGGCACCGGGTTCATCTTCGTCATCGTACCTGCGGACACGAACGAATCGGATTAGGTTATTATGCTATCGGCCGGTGTCCGCGCCACTGCCGGATTCCGATCGGACGGATCGAGGCCGCGCGGCTCGATTACGCCGGCGATTAAGTTATTCCCGGCGCCGGGAACAATGATATTCGCCGGTCGAGGCAGACGATGATCGGGAATTTTTGCCACGCGGCCGTTACTTTTACCGCTAGATGGAACGAGGAAATGAATCCACGGTTCTCGCCGGGAGAACAGAGGACAGGGTGAACGAGGCGTCGCGATGATACTTAATTGTCCGGTACTTTTCCCGGTTTTTCTGCTGTTCTTAGATGTCCCCAGCGAGGAGCGGAGGGAACGGAGGGAGGAATGAAGCACAAGGTCTTAGGAAAGGTTCTTTTCGAGAATCTCAATCGCGGAAATTGTTTGGGTTACGCAAGGTCACCGATTACGTAATGCGCGCGCGTGGCTGCATCGACAGGGGGAAAGCGTTCGGGGGACTTTCATTGAAAGTTTTTCTCGCGTCGGAACGCGATGGTCGTGATGGAAGGATGTCTGACGCGTGCTGAGTTAGGATCGCTATTTGATGTACTCTGGCTTTTTAATTGGACTTTATCGCTCGGAGATCGAAGGGAAATAGTTTCTACGGATAGGAAGCAATTTTGTAAAAAGTGGCTGCCTATCGAGTTAAACTCTCAATTGCCGGCGTTAATTTATGCAAGTGGAAGATGCCGGAGAGGCCTGCACGGTATTATGTAAAGTTGCATAATCATCGTTTAAATGCCTTGGAAATTAACGTCGTTATGGAACACACCGGGGCGTATTAACGTAATTATGGTTCACACGTTTGTATTATGAATTACAGAATTCTAGTTGCTTCGAGCTCGTATCTCAATTCTCTGCGCGAAGATGATTGAAGATACAGTTTTCGAAGTCTTTACCGACGATCCTGACTTTTAGGTAGAAATACTTGCCTTGCCGACCCATTCGTTGGCTCCGAATGCTTTTCCGACCGACTAGCCGATCGTAAAGCGACATTTTTAGATTAGGGTTGTTCGTCTGCGGCAATCCTCCGGTTTCGGGACTACTGTAGACGCTGTTGTGACGGTTCCTGGAGAAGAAACCGCCTCCACTGCTGTACGTAGTGGAGGAACTTCGTACCGAGCCCATTCTTGTTATTTGCCTTTGCAGCCAATTTTTCCTTCGCTCCACTAACGGAGTGTCAACGCTCTCCTGTGGAACATGGAAGAAGTTATTATATTATCATTTGCACATTAGAATTTTGTAAATTTTGTAACTATCTACTATTTTTTAACTACTGCTGCCATTGCGACACTCACAATATACTTTAAAGTTAGAAGTTCAACTTTTACAGCGAACGAATGTTTAAATTTCAATTGAAAAAAGTTCCACTGCGAGAGTGAACAAACATACATCGAGTTAGTTCGAGGAAAAAGCAACAATGGGTCTCTGTGGTTTTCAATGGACGCGCAAAACGCTGCCATCTGGATATCGACGAATTCAAGTTCAGTTCGTGACGCGCACTTACGTAATCGGCATACATGTCATCCTGATGAGTCTTGCGATGCTGAACGTGATTGTGGATCTGTGTACCCAGCATAACGTTTGCATAAAGAGCGTCACTGTCTTTGACCTTATAGTGTTCCGCGGATCCTTTCGGCTCTTCGCGTCGATATTGTTCACTGGCCACCGTGTACGGTAGATCCTTCGGCACGACTTCGTCCCAGTATTGATCTTTCAGCAACTCTGGATGCTCCTCGTGCATTTCGTCGACGATCATGTACCCCGCCTGTGAACGACGTTGAAATAATAATGATAACGATTCAGCATTCCCCATCACGTTAATATCGGAATCGCGATAAAATTGAAATGAACATTCTGTTACATCAATCGATCATATTGTAACACTAGTTCAAAGTATGCAATTGGCAACGATTTATTCCGCTGTGAAAACTCGAACGATTTATCCCGCGCGTTCCAATCACCGCATGAATGAGTACGAGCTATTAATAACGATTCCAAATGACCAATAAATTCGTACCAGTCGTAAATCCGAACTGGAATGAATGTAAACAGGAACGGAAATTGTTTACGATTTAAACAATTAAAATCCCCTCGGGATTGTTTGACTATTCAAGCGATGAATTAATGGATTTGACCAAGGAGGAATTACTTCCTCCCGGATATAGAATCTTGAAAAATAATTTAGTTGACGAGTCGACTTAATGAGCGGCGAGTCCTATAATCCATTAAAGAAGGTCCCCATTATTCGAGGGACATTGACGCTGCGCAAACAATCGTTTTACCTTAATGTGCCGATCGATGAGCCAATTCAGCTCAATGTCGTCGTCGTCTTCGCCGAACGGATTGATCAGCACCTCGGCGACTTTCAGCCAGCCCACGTAGAAGCAGAACTGAAAGGAAACAGAGATTCCCGGTTGATTGATACGCAATAACAGGTTGGCGGTCTTTACGAGCCGCGCAAAGTCTTTCTCACCTGTAGCGCCGTGAAAAATGGAAAATACATGTCCGGTTCCTCATATTTTCCGCCTCCGACGTCGGTGCGCTCGATAAATTGTCGGCCGAGCAACGCGGAAAAGAAATACGCGTACAGTGATAGCGTGACTACCTGGAAAACATAAATAAACGACGCTTGAAACGTGGCCAGATACGAGCAAACGAATTATCGCGGCAGTAAAACGCGAGCCGATTGTTCCCCGGGGAGCCGCCGCGAATCGTAATTCCCCGGTGTCTTAATTCCGCCCGATGTTAATTCCGCCAGGCGCGATAAAACGGAAACAATCGTCGCGTGTTCGCCGATCGAACGATCGCCTCCATGGGGGACGGGACGATACAAGCGATTGAATTAACTAACGGAAATTTATCGCCGCACATATTCCACGATTGCGTCATTTGACTCGATTCTCGGAACCGTTGTATGAAGGAAGTGTCATCAAAAGCGATCGACGATAAGAAACCGATGGCATCGCTGCAGAATGCACCGCAGCCTCTCCCGTATTTTCGCATACTCGGACATTGTTGTAGTCCGCACGTAGTCTGACACTTTCTTGGAAGATGATATTTAAATTAATACTAATCCCCCTTCGATCGGGAGATCGGTAATCAGATTTAGTATGAAATTTTCTTCGAGCGACGTCGAGAAAGGAGAAACGTTTGCGTGACGACGAACAAGCTACTTTGAAGGCAAGAGATGAACCCTTTCGAGGGGTGTGGAATTTCAAACGGAGTCACCGGCTCCACGAGCGTATTTTTAACAGGCTCGTCCTCTTTTCAAGCCGCGCGTAAGTTGGAACAGGTTTGAATGAAATAATATCAAGGTCGACGAGAGCACTACCTTTCTCGTCGAAGGCCACCAGGAAATGATACTTTATGCAAAACTTTATTGCAAACAACAGAAAAAGCGATCGACAGTTTATGCTGAACACAATCGTTGACCACTGTTGTGGACAGCCCGGGATTCACGAACGTCACTTTCAGGGAGAAAAAGTCAATGATGAACAGCCCTACTGATCCTGGCCACGCACTGTCTGCCCTTGTAACGTGATCATTTACCTCGACAAATTCGTGGGGAAGAAATTAAAGCCTGTGAACATGGTGTCCTTCGAATTATTTTTCTCCAAAAAGATCTGTGTCCGGTAGTTTTCAAAGTGAAAGAAGTTTAATTATCTCGATGATTATTTTAATCAGGATATTGATATTATTCTGAAGATATTTCCAACGCATGCAAAGAACTGCCGAAACGATCGAATTTCACTCTTTGTTATACGTTCTCCGACTTTCTTCGCAAGAAATGATGAGTTTGAATTTTGTAGAAACAATTGGACAAGTTCTAGGTAAAGTCTAGTAACAGTTGTGGAAAACTACAAAGTGCTTTTCCTCGCGATAATCGATATATTAACCACTCCTTTGCACATTCACATTCTACGATACTTCCCGTGCAACTCCTGAGGCCATTCATCAGACAGTTTTTGCTTCGCCAGTCGATCTAATATTTTCCTTTGGAAACGGTTTGATCTAAACAATCTCCGGAATGTCGCCAGAAGAACTGTCGCTGAAAGTTCACTCTGGTGCAACTGGATAAAAGGTCTTTCCTGGTTGGGACGAAGAGAATCCGGCGCAGCGGTTTCGCCGGTAATTAAAGCGCATTGTCGCGTTGGCTTCAATTGCCATCTCTCTGTTGAAATTTATTAAGTGCCGTCGAGATGGGACTCGCTACGGGAACGTTCATGATAATCGAACGCCAGGTGATGTCGGACAAGTCGAAGCGTTCGGTGAACGCAGCTCGCGAGCAACAATATGCATTAGCCTTGCAATTTTGCGCTGCAGCAGGTATAATGCCTGTTACCATTTACATAGTGGAACACAAAGAAAGTCGTCTCCGCGTAGTCGCGTTGCGAAAATCTCACGAAGTGAATAATTGCACGCTGCTTAGAGCAGTTTTCTTGCAAATCTCGTCTACTCCCTCGATTACGAAGAAATTCAATTATTTCGTTGGCGAGTCTAATGAAACGTTTTAATACTACAAGTAAAACCTGTATTCGAGTCCCAGAGATGAGTTATTGTGTATTACTGAACGCTACTAAAAAAGAAATCGGAATTCTGTTAAGAGAGTTAATTATTTACCGTTCTCTTCATCTTCGGAGTCAATTTCCAAAGGAATTCGAAGTATTCCTCGCTCGATTGATAGGCAAATGCGAGATCGTTGTTGGAATTCAATTACCGTCTTAATTTATGAGAAGAACCCGAACAATGAGAATACAAAAGAGGCACGGTGACTAACGAAACGATCCGCCCGGTTGTCTGCGGCCGATCTAAATATACCAGTAACGGAATGATCGATGTTTCACCGACGGGGAAAATGCTGCCAGATTGTTTTTATTCATGTGTGAATTTCGTATCCCGTGATCGTTCGTAATCGATTACGTAACCGATCGATGAATGAACGTTCCCCCGCGAGCCGAGCCGCGATCGATTGGTTGTTTAATTTATCGTTAACCGGTGCGCGAAAACCAGTTGGATTCCGAAGACGAGTTTATTGGATCTCCGTCGAGCGAAGGAACGTTTTTGGCAATTAAAAGCAGGATACGCAGGCGGACTCGGCAAACAAAGGTCGTCGGAAAGGCCGCTCGACAAAGAAGCCAGCCGGGGCAGCGCCATGTTTGCTGAGAACACCTCAAACTCCGCGAAAACGATGGCGTCTGCACCCGGCAATTAGGGACGCTAGCTGATGAGCAATTAGCGTTGCACAATGCATACACGCGGCGGCTAATTGCGAATGAGAAACATCTTTCCGAGAACGGATCCGTTTTACTGCTGCGCCGCAATGAATCGAGTCCTTCGAACTGGATAACGCTCGCGACCCCGCGGGCCGGATCGCGGATTTACGATCGATCTTCGGCCGTTCCAGCGCCGCGGGATCCCGGATAAAAGGATTTCTGCGGCCGTGTTAAAACCACGCATCGGGCCTTTTGTCCGCGGCATCCATGTTGCAACGGTGTGACGTACTTTCTAATGATCGTAACCGCCGCGCGCTGCTCGTTAACTTCTTGCCGCAGAAACAGATTTATCCCGGGCACAGGTAGGAACGCGGCTTTCGGGCGTGCTGCTTTGGTACTGGGCGTGAAGCTGAATTGGTTTCACCATATTAGACGTTCAAATTGAGAATTCCTCGTTCGAGGAAATATTCGAGGTCTGGGAACTAATGTTGAGGACTAAACTACTCGAATGGCAGGGTATACCGCGAAGCTTCTATTGTTTCAGCAAATGTTTTACGTCTTTTTTATTGCCTTCGATTGGACATTTAATTGCTACTGAAATAGCTAGATACTTAATCGTTTCTTCGATTGCAATTTTCCTCTTCGACAGACAGTTCTAGTGGAACTTGCTCGGTTGATTGAAACGATCAAAGGTTGAAAAAGACGCTTGAAGGAAAATCAAGAAGAAAGATCTCTTCGCGATCGAGGGATGCGTTAGAAAAATAACGAGTACTTGATCCATTCATTCCGTCGGTCCGTTTACACGATTCATTAACGGAGACGCTGTTTGTTCCTGGCCTCGAGCGGGACGTGTCGTTCAAACGATATTTCCATTGGCAAACATTCGACCGACGATAGAAGTCACGGATACCGATGCGACCGATACGCTTTGCTGAAAATTAGGATACTCACCTGAGTGTAAACGAGAGGAACGCAAACGGTGTCGTAACCGATCAGCGCGCCAAGCCTCTTCCGGATGTCGCTGAGCTCGACAAGGAGGGTCTGCACTACTTGATCGCTCGTGATCAGGGCCTCCCTCCTGGCCCTGTTGATAATGTTCGTCGCCCAGACGAGCGGCATCCAATACTTGGACATCGCCGCTTTCTTGTTCATCATCTCGAAAATTTTCTTCTCGGATTCCATCATCAGACCTGGAACAACCGATACGGATTCACATACGTTATTTTCTCTTGTAATATCTCAGAACCAACGAGGATGTCACCGAACACAATAACTCCCGAATTATCAATGAAAACACCGACGGTATAGAATTTCAAGATGTCGAAGTTTCCAATGACGAAACCATGGATTATTCAAACGATGAATCTTTACGATCAGTATGAACAAGATGGCTCCGTTTGAACTTACTTCTTGATACTTCCGATAGTGAATAAACATTAAGAAGTCGAATATTTTTATTTCCTCTTTCACCTTTAAATGTGTGAAGTGCACATGTTTCTTTTAATAAAAATTTGAATTAAAATGTTTTCCTCTTATTATCCTTAGATGTGTATATACCTTATTGTTTTTTTACAAATCTTCACTTTTTCTAAACTGCCAGCTCCTCTGTTTTCTCAAAAACAAAAGATTGTAAGAAAATCTTAAATTTATCTTCGTGCTGTATGAATACTCATCGCAGTCATTTCGCCACGTTATAGGAAACCGCGTTACACGGGGGTCCGCTCTAAATACTTTTATTTTATAGTAAAATCGTTCACATTAAAGCGGCGCGTACAGCTACATTTAGAAATTGCAATACAATGAATAACATTTACATTGATATCCTACTCCTTTCGTGACGTATTACTTCGCGACGCTTGAAAGCAACGACGATCTTTCACCTTCCGCAGTTTCAACAATTACGTTATAAACGCACCGAAGAAAGATATTCTACCATCGCTAGAACCGACACATAGCTCTTTCAAACGTATCCTGAGTCAGTCCGTTCCGTTTACTGAAATTCATACGAGCGACTCGTTAACAGGGGAACACGCGCGCGCGGGCGTCGCGGCGTTATCAACCGATCAGCAGCCGACAGCGACTTTCGCGCGTGCATCCGCTTGCTACGCAGTTATTCGCTCGTTA